TCTGCTTTCCTGATCTTAAATACTAAATATTCACCATAGACTCCCAAAACTTAATCTCTACCCTACACCTCTACTAAACCTTCACAGAGCGTTTTAAAAACATCTCAAATGCAATATTTCCTGAACAGAACTTCTTATCTCCTTCACAAATCTTCCCTTATGTTCTATATTAATAGCATCATTATGTGCCCAATTGCCCAAATAAAAGCTAACATTTATCCTTGAGTCTCTAATTTCTCATCATATATCTGGCTATTAGATCCCATTACTTCAACATTTTAAATATCTCAATTTTATCTCTTTTTCTTCAATCTTATTGCTTTTATTTGGAAACCCAAATTTATCTCTTATATAGCTTGCAATAGCCTTTTATCTGGTTTCTGTCTTCACTGTGATTTTTAAATCTATTTTCCTCTCTATTGATAACAATTTTCTTTCTTAAAATCCAAATGTGGTTAAGTGATCACCCTATTTCTGAACTTGTTGTGGCTTGTTTATTATCTGACTCCATCACCATCATTTATTGAACATCTAAAACATACCAAGGATTTTTCTAAGTTCTTTATACATACTATTTCATTGAATCTTTATATCAATTCTTTTGGAATAGCCACCATTTTCATTCCAGTTTTACAAGTGATAAAACCAGGGCACAGAGAGGTTAAATAATTTGCCCAAGGTTATAGCTAGTAAATGGTAGAGCTAGCAGTTTGACTCTAGTGTGATTACTTTTATGTTACATTGTATACATTACAACTGCCTTGCAGAAATACAATAATTCCAAACCTCTTAACATGGCTTCAGTATTCATCCCAATTGGATCCAAATTCCATCCATTTGTTTACTAAGTATTTATAATAGACCGAGTGCAGTTGAGTATAAACCAAAAACTTTCTTCAAAGAGCTTACAAGTTGGTAGAAATTAATGAGTGCAATATGTTTCAATTAAGTGGCATAATACAGTGAAATAGAAATATTCCCAAATTCTATGTGAACACACTAAAGATCTTCAGCTGGACTGAATTTTCTTATTTCATGCATTTAGTCATTTTTCACATTGCTCTTGGGTTTGGGGTGTCTCTTTCCTCGACTACACGACAACTAGTGTCTTCAAGGTGCCACTAAATTGTCTTTTGCTCTGTGGATGCACAATGACTTCTCAGCAGAGAATTGGCATTCTCCCTTGGAATATCCATTTTACAGGGGGCAGAGTTATAACATAGTATGTTCTGTTAAATTATCATTGCTTATTTATGGAGCTATTCTCTACCTCAACCCCCAGACTATAAACAGAGATCAGTCTGATTTTTCTGTGTATTCCTTTCTGCCACACCTAGCACTGCACATATACTATCAATAATTGCTTTAAACATAAAAAATAAAAATAAAGGCAGTCACTTTACTGTTTATTATGTATCTAGCTTTCTTTTAGGTACTTTAGATAAATCAGATGAATAAATTGATAGATTAATGAACAATTAAAAGAAATAGCCTAGAGAGATGTTGGCTGGTTACAGCTGGGCTTCACAGATTTTTAGGTCACAGGTAGGTTTGGCTCTCTTTATATTGTGGTAGCCAGAATTCTGAGTTGGCCCTCCTGATGCTCACTCTTTGGTTACCCATGTTTTTTCCTTAACTTGTTTCCAACCAATAGAATAGAGGACAGTGAAGGAGTTTTGCAGATGTAAAGTTCCTAATAAATTGATTTCAAGTTACTTGAAAAGGAGATGATCCTGGGTGGAGCTGACCTAATCAGGTGAACCCTTTAGAAGAGGGTCTAGAGGTCAGAGACTATGATGGTCAAATTTATTTGTCAACGTCTAGCAAAAATAGCTAGGCTATGGTGCCCAGTTGTTTGGTCAGACACTAGTGTAGATGTTGCTATGAAGGTATTTTAAAGATGTGAGTCACATTTATATCAGCAGTATTTATTTTGAGTAGAGTAGATTGCTCTCCTTTATCATCAAACAATTCTCTAATTCTCATCAGACACTGACTGGGTGCTCTATAAATTTAACTCAGTTTTGACACTTATCTACCTAGAGATAGCATCAGATTCCACAGATTAAGGCACCAGTTTCCTAAGACTTCACCCACTGCAGAGTCCAAATACAAATAAATCCAGGCTGTCCTGTACTTCTGACCAACCTACAAATTGAAGTTTTACATGACCTCTTCCTTGGATTCAATTAATTTGCTAGGGCAGCTCACAGAAATCTTTACTTATGGTTACCAGTTTATAATAAAGGAAAGGATAGAGGATACAGATGAAGAGGTACATCAGGAACGATCATGAGCATGGGAGCTTCTGTCCCTGAGGAAGGAGGATACGCCACCCTCCCAGCATGTGGATGTGTCAACAAATCTCCTTATTCAAGAGTTTTTACTGGAGCGCCTGAGTAGCTTAGTCCGTAAAGCATCTGACTTTGGCTCAGATCATGATTTCACAGTTCGTAAGTTGGAACTCCACGTGGGGCTCTGTGCTGACAGCTCAGAGCCTGGAACCTGCTTTGGATTCTGTGTCTCCCTCTTTCTCTGCCCCTCCCCTGCTTGTGCACTGCTTTCTCTCCCTCTCAAAAAATAAACATTAAGAAAAAAAGAGTTTTTGCAGAGCTTTAGTTTTCAGCCACTCCCCCTTGTTCTTCCCAGAGGTCAGAGGTCGGGCTGAAAGTTCCAACCCTTCTAATCTCTTGGTCTTTCTGGTGACCAGCTCAGTCCTGAGCCAGATAAGGGGTCCCATCCTAAAACACCGCATTAGCATAAACTAAAGAGGGTCCAAATAGCCTCCATATGTATAGCAAAAGACACTCCCACCACTTAGGAAATTCCAAGAATGAGAGAGAGATGGAGACAGAGACAAATTAAAGAATTGCCTCACACAACTGTAAGGGCCAGGGAGTCTGAAATCTACAGCATAGGCCAGCAGATTAGAAGTTCTGGCAATAGTCATTGCAATCTTGAGTCTAAAGGTCTTATCCCATTCCTTTCAATGGGTGTATATTATTCAATTTTATGGATGTTTGCTCTAATTATTACTTTTTGAACCGTTAATTTAGCCATTTGTTTCTATTTTCTTCCATCTTCTATTTATTTTTCTTTAATTGTGACTATGAATTCCTTCCACCAGTGGAGAATCCTTATGAACAATCTTGCAACCTTACAGAGTAGATCTGTAGAATAAATTCCTACAAATTGAATTGTTGGCTTAAGCAGTATGATTAATGTAAACACTGATACCATTGAAAACTGTCTCCAGGAGCATCTGGATGGCTCAGTCAATTAAGTGTCCAACTTTGGCTCAGGCCATGGTCTTGTGGTTCATGAGTTTGAGCTCCGTGTGGGGCTCTGTGCCGACAGCTCAGAGCCTGCTTTGGATTCTGTCTTCCTCTTTCTCTTCCCCTTCCTTACTTGTGCTCTCTTTCTGTCAAAAATAAATAAATAATCTTAAAGAAAAAAAAATGCCTCCAAAGAAGTTGAGCCAATTTACGAATTTGTGTACCAATATGACTCTTTCCAAAATTTTTCTAACATTTCACCAAACTTTATTGTTATATATTTTTGTATATTTATTATTTCTATATAGTTATATTACTTATAAGTCATTATTTTTCAGAGAGGGGAAAAGTGGTATCTAGATGTATTTCTTTTGTTGAGCTTTAGTTGTGTTTTAATATGTTTATTGACCATTTATATTTAGTTTTATGTCAATTGCTCATGTCCTTTATCTGTTTTCCTTTAGGATTATTTGTTTCCTTATGATTTGCAAGAGATCTTTGTTTAGTAAGGAATTCAGTTATTTTTCCCCTCAGGCTATCTTTTGACTTTGCTTACGATAATTTTTTTCCATTGAAAAGTTTTAAATGTTCATGTATTCAAATTTACAAGGCTTTCCCCATTGGCTTCTGGATATTTTGTTTTGACAGAATAATCAATTAAACAATAGCTTTTAAGCTATTTACCATACTTACCTGTTATTACCATAATTTCTTGGTTATTTTTACACTTAAGTTTTTGTTTCAACTGGAATTTATTTTGAAGTAAGTAGTAGAGTAGAAATTTTAGTGGCCTAAAACATTGTGTTTTAACATTAGTAAAATTTTCTTTCTCATTCACATATAATTCAAACTAGAAAATGACACAGCAGGGGCACCTGGGTGGCTTAGTTGGTTAAGCATCTGACTTCAGCTCAGCTCATGCTTGCTGTTTGTGAGTGTGGGCCCTGAGGAGGGCTCTGTGCTGACAGTTCAGAGCCTGGAGCCTGCTTTAGATTTTGTCTCTCTTTCTCTCTACCCTTTCTCCACTCATGCTCTCTCTCTCTCTCAAAAATAAACATTTAAAAAAAGCCAGTTTCTAAAAAAAAAAAAAAAAAAAAGAGCTGAACTTCAGAAGGGCAATCCACATCCAGAGCCTGTGCTCTTAATTTTATTAATTATTTGTAATCTAGTACTTTTTGGTGTAAGTTAAACTTCACATTAGTTTAGGGCTTTGGGGAGGAATGAGGTTCAATTCTTGACTTGCAAAATAAAACTTATACGGTTTCTTCCTTCTTTCATCCTAGTTGCCAATGTCGTAAGAAATAAATTGAGGCACATCTTACAATATGAAGACAACTGAACTAAATAGTTGGGTTTAATGTAATTTTCTTTAATATTAACTCTTAAACTCAATGACTTATAAACTTTATTGTGATGAAAAATAAAAAATGCCTGTGGAATAAAAGCTGAAATATTTTAAACTATGACCCCTGAGTTTTTCATTACCTATTTATGAAGTATGGCACAATTTGCCTTGGAAACTGTTGGTTGAAATATTAAAAGTTATTTCACACAGTCTTTTTATTTTGAAGTTTATTTATTTTGGGGGATGCTTGGGTAGCGCAGTTGGTTGAGCGTCCAACTCTTGATTTTGGCTCAGGTTGTGATCTCATGGTTTGTGAGGTCAAGCCCTAGTCAGGCTCTGAGCAGATACCATGGAGCCTGCTTGGGATTATCACTCTTCATCTCTCTTTGCCCCTCCACAACTCTGTCTCTTCATCAAAAATAAGTAAATAAACATTAAAAAAATAATAAAGCTTATTATTATTATTTAGTAATTTCTATATCCAACATGGGGCTTGCACTCACAATCCTAAGATTAAGAGTTGCATGTTTTTCTGACTGAGCCAGCCAGGTACCCCTATTTCATAGTTTCTAAGTCTTTGTTTCATTCCTCTTTTCTTGAGAAAGGAAAACTCATAATCTCAAGTTAGTTGGGTTAAGATTATTTTCCAGTGCAGTACTTTGAGAAGATTTAAAATGAACATAGCATGTTTCCATATCACATTTCATTAATACAACTCAAGCTAAATACAGTGCCAAAAGTTGATCAAAACTTAAATTCTTAGTGTTTCATTAGCTGTGTATACAAAGTCTCATTGTGTGCATGTTTAATTCTATTTTTTTCAATGTTTCTTTATTTAGGGGTGCCTGGGTGGCTCAGTCATTTGAGCATACGACTTCAGCTCAGGTCGTGATCTCATGGTTTGTGAGTTTGAGCCCTGCAACAGGCTTGCTGCTTGTTAGCCTGTCAGTGCAGAGCCCACCCTGGATCCTCTGTCCTCCTCTATGGCCCTCCCCAGCTCACCCTCTCTCTTTCTCAAAAATAAGTAAACCATTACCAGGTGAGAATTGTGGAAGCTATCATAATGCACATCCCAGACCACGAGACATAGACATTTCAGCACCAAGACTCCCTGACTCCAAGGAATGACACCTACTTCCTGGATACCTGAGAGGACAATGGAGATCAGAACTCCATTCTCAATAACCCCTCCAGCACACCCCCCTCCCCAAACAAAGATGAGACTCCCTCCTTTCCTTTCTGACCCTCTCTGTCTGTTAATTGTTCCTTCTATATCTTCAATATAAAACTCCGCTCTCACCTCCTGCTGGCTTACATTTGTTTTCCATTCTCTGTCAATCCAAGGACCCTTTCCGCTGATCCTGTGGGATCCCCTTGGGGTCCTTCGACCCAGCTTGCTGGCATCAGTATGATCAGTAATTTCAATTCTATGTATATAAATGAATACATACATCTGTCTATACAATAACTTGTACAGGAGTCTTGATTGCAACATTTTTTCTAATAGCCAAAACAGTGTAAACAACTCAGATGGCTATCAAGGATGGATGAATTAATAAAATGATGTTGTATATCCATACTATGGTATATTTGACAATAAAAAGGAATAAATAGCGATATATGGATGCTACAACATGGATGCTACAACATGGATTCCATTTATATGAAAAAACTATATATACGGTAACTGAAAACTCAGTCATAAAAGACCACGTACTGTATGATTCCATTTATATGAAATATCTAGACTAAGGAAATCTATAGACAGAAAGTAGATTAGTGACTGCATAGGTCTGGGGCTTGGGTGAAATAGGGGGTGACTGCCCACAGGTACAGAGATTCTTTTTGGAGTGATGAAAATGTTCTTAAATCGATTATGGTGATAATTGCACAACTCTGTGAATGCACTAAAATCCATTGAGTGGGATACTTTAAAAGGTTGAAATGTATATGAATTATATCTCAAAAAGCTGTTAGAATAAAAGGCAAATTCTGAAGGATCATTAAGATGATACAAAAAAAGTGTTGGGCAGATGAGCCCCTAATAAATGGTGGCCATTACCCATTGAGAGAATTCAGTCTATTTACATTTTCCTCACCATAATTAACATTGTAAAAAGATCATTTTGTACAGTGCAAAACAATACTGAACACTGTTGCAGATTGTTTTCCTTCTGAACCTTTGGGGACGTAGATGTGCTAATGAAATGTTATGTACATTTAAGACCCCTTGTCCTCAGAAAGCCTGGGCCCATGGGCATTTCTTGGAGAGTACAGAGTGCCGGTAAAGCATCCTTTTTAAAGAGTTTTTCTGTCAGAATGCTAATAAAACACACATATAAAAGAGTCCCAATATTTTTTCCAATGGCCTTGGTAGGGGAAAAAGTTTTAGTATGGCTAAAATAGATATTCAAAGTATCTCCGTTGTAATGCTTGGTAGAAAGTCATACAAGATGATTCTGCTTTGGTCCTTCTTGTGGAAGTTTGCAGGAATTGCGGAAGAGGAAAACGTGGTCTTCAGCTCAGAGCTCAAAACTAAGTTTCCCGCCTACTTCTAACAATGGGTATTAATCTACACTCTGCTGCAAGTTGTACACACATCTGACTCGAAAGTAACAACTTTAGCCTGACATTGAAGCATTTGAAATGTTAACAGGTGGAGGGAGGGTTCAGGCGAAGTGTGTGAGGTGTGGAACTGGAATTTGAATCGAAGGAGGGCCACTGATTTAAATAAAAAAGAGCGAGGTTAAAGAACTTGGAGAACATAGCAGACACCTTTTTAGGCTCCCTCATCCGCCTAAAAGGTTGTGCCAGTGCACAATCGGAGCCCCCAAAGTTGCCCTTCCGTAGGTGAGGAAGCTACTCCAGGGCTACCAGCACTTACAAGAAGTTTAGGGCAGAAAGCCCTAGTCTCAAGGAAAGGAGATGCGCGGGGCAGGCGGCGTCAGGGCACTTCTTCACGCCTCGGCGGCCGGAGGCCCCCACTGGCCGGAGCGGGCCAGCAGCGGGCACTAGGGGGCGGGGACGTAGGGGCGGGTCAGCAAAGGTCGGGCGATTGTGTCGGGAGGCGAACGGGGGCGTGGGCGACGGCGGGCGGAGCCCAGGACCAGTGATGTAAGGAACCGAGGAATCCCAGGGCGCGAGTCTGGGAAGCGCCGTGAGACCCCAGGGGTGTGGGGCGGGGGATCCCAGTCCCCGCCCTGTTTTCCCCGCCCCTCCCCCCGCCTCCTGAACGCCCCTCCCCCCTCCTCCCCTCTGGTTGGAAAGTTTCTAGAATCTCTTCCCAGCGGCCTTTGCGGTTCCAACATGGCGGAGCTGACGGTGGAGGTTCGTGGCTCCAACGGGGCTTTCTACAAGGTACCGACCCTTCTGCCGCTTTGTCGGGTGTTCTGGGAGTGGGGGCAGGTTTGGGAGAAGGCTGGTGGTCCTGGAGAATGAGGTTTGGGGTCGAAAAGGGCGTCCAGGCCGCAGCCCGAGGCTGCTGCTTTCCTCGCTTCTCCCCCCTCCACCCGCGGTTTAACGGTCTCGGGGGCCCGGGCTCCGTTATGGTTTGAAACAACACGTCGGACACCTCTTGCGTTTTTCTACTTGGGAACCTTCTCCTGGGATGGTAGCGCAGTCCTTGGCGGGCCGGTGAAGAGTAGCCCAGTCGCTGCTGGGCGGCGGGGAGCTCCTCGGGAGCAGGCCTGAGCGCCGGGAGGTTGGGGAGTCGTGAAAGGAGCTGGTGGGATTGTGTGGTCACGGCAGCTCCCCCGCCCCTCGGACTGAGCCGAGCGGGAGCGCGTCGGCCCGCGGCTCCGACCCCTCCCCACCCCTTTGGTGGGGGGTGCGTCGCGGAATCCTAAGAATTCACCTTTGTTTTAGGGTTTGGGGCTAATAAACTTTAGTGTCTGACTGGGAACCGGGTACCGAATTAAGGGTTAGGATCGAAGGGAAACCTGGAAAACCTTTTAATGTGGCGGGCTGAAATATTTTTGCGGCCTGGGAAATTGGGCGGCGCCTTAGCCCCTTTATTACGGAAGAAAAGGTTAGAGTTACAGGCTTGAAAGCAAGATTTAAAAAATGAAATCGATAAGGGAGACGGGTGGCGAGGTGGCTGGTTTTTTTTTATAGTAGTTTACCCAGTGTTTTTGGAAAGAGGTGTTGATTTTTTGTTTCTTCTCCACGAGGTTTTTTGTTTGTTTGCACCGGGAGGTGCATTATTATGGGATCGGGCTGGAACACAGAAGAGGAATTCGAGAGTAGAGGAATTTAGTGGGGCTTCCAGGGCAGGGGTCACATAACTGAAAATGAAATCTTTACGATTTAGTTTTGCCATTATAACGGTCCCTCGTCCCGATTCTCTTCTTTTTCCAAAAGTATACCACAATGTTACGAGATCAATACAAAATCTCCCCAGCTGTTGTCTGTCAGTCAATCTCACTAAGCCAGCATCTCAAATGTTTGAGAGTCCTGGCTATTTTTATGAAGGGCCTTCTCCTAAAACAGGAGTATTGTGCGTACGCAGAATGTATTCTCCCTGGGTTTCATTTCAGCGTACCTTTTATCCCACAGGATTCTGTTTTATTTGATGGTCGTAATTTCCTGTTTCAGCGTTGTGTCCCTTTTGTAGTTTACTGATAAGCTGTGTGGATTTGGTTTAACTGTCACGTGGTAATAGCATGGTGGGAATCACAGTTGGCGTCTAAAGGATCTCCCTAAGCTTTTTACAAGTTTAAGTCGCCTTAGGTGGTCAACATAACGTAAAAACTGCCCGGTGGAATGGAGTCTTTTTGCTTGACTAGATGCATTAGCAGTTAAGATTTAAAACTTGGTGTCAGACAAAAGACCTAAGTGAAAAATTGAGTGGATATTTCATTGACTTCTGTTACTGAAACCTAGTGGTTGCCTTCTCTGACCCTAGATACAATAGTTGTGGCACAATGCACAAATTATAGGCTTGCCATACTTTTCCTGTTAACAGTAGATAGGGTTCATCATTTTTGCACCTCTTCTCCCCCATGGAAAAGTTTCAGATGTCCACTATTCGGTGATACAGTTGTTGTGTACTGAAGGTATGCTTTTCTTTCCTCTTGGGAAATTGAAAAATAGAAAACGGTTTTTCGCCTTAAATTGTTTTGCAGCATGTAGATGGTAGAACATTTCTTGTTTAGCCAAAGTATTGTGTTGATTGCTATATAAGATACTCATTTTTGTAAGATTCATTATGTAAGGTCGTCAGTTTGAAAGCTTTAGTGAAGATTGTTTTTTTTACAGTTTTTTATAGTTACTTAAAAGTCAAATTCACAATGTTCCCATTTTGGAACTGTAAAGTGTTGTGGATCCTTATCCATACTCTACAAATCTACTTGATTCTACTTGGACTTTGAATCCTTCATTCATTTTTATTTAACAAATAAAGGTGGTTCTTTTGCAAAGATTGGGAAGGATACTGGCCACATTGTACGAAAATATTTTGCACTGGAATATTTGGAATTTTACGTCCTGCCGTAATCCACTTGTACTTGGTGGAAACTGGGATCTGTAGAACTCTGAGAGAGGGAATGGTGACGCGAAAGGAAGGAGCCCTGGATTTGAAGTTAAATTAATGGGAATTCTAGGTCTGTGCTTCAGTTTACCGTGATCTGTCAGTGGACTCCAGAATAAATCTTGAGTCTGTTTTCTTTTGTGTAAACTGAAGGGTCTGAAGTAGTTCAGATTTCCAATTTTCTAATCCCACAGAACTGCCCACTTGGGGAAAAAGTGATTTACGGCACAATTTAATATTTTTAACTGTGTGAATTTTTAGGTTAACTTGCATCTGGTAAAATTCACCTTTTCTGGTACACCGTTACATGAGCTTTGGTAAAATGTTGAAGAGATATAGGAGAGTTCCACTGTCCCCCAAATTTTCCTTATGCCTCTTTGTAATCATCCTCTCTTCTCACCCACAGATCCTAGGGGGTTTTCCAGTTCTCATAGTTTTGCCTTTTCCAGAGTGTCCTATAAGTAGATTCATACACTATGCTGATTAGTGTTTTGAGTCTGGTTTCTTTCATTTAGCATAGCAGCAGTTTTTTTTTTAAAGTAAATTTTCTAATTTAAACAATAATAGTGGTCAGTGAGGCCATTTTGAAAACAAAAGTTGCCTTGGGATAACAGCTGTCAACTTTTTAGTTTATTTTTTTAGTTTATTTTTTCAGTGTTTTTTTTCCCTAGTGTACAGGTGATTCTGATTTTCCTTTTCTTTTCCCCATATACACACACAGCTGTAAATCCTAATCTCAGAATTGCAGTCTTGGGTTTAGTAGCCGGTGTCACCCACCATTCCTTGAGGCAGTGTTCTGTGGACCTTTATTAAAGATTTTTCCAGGGGCGCCTGGGTGGCTTAGTCGGTTAAGCGTCCGACTTTCGCTTAGGTCATGATCTCGCGGTTCGTGGGTTCGAGCCCCGCGTCGGGCTCTGTGCTGACTGCCAGCTCAGAGCCTGGAGCCTGTTTCAGTCTGTGATTCCCTCTCTCCCTGACCCTCCCCTGCTCACGCTGTCTCTCTCTCTGTCTCCTAGAAATAAATAAAAAAAAAAATATTAAAAAAAAAAAATTTTTTCTGGGGGAACTGAAATTTCATCTTACAAGGTAATTGAAATCAGTGAAAAGCTGAAGATGTGACCTAAAATTAGGATCGGGAAAAAAACCTTCTCTTTTTTTCTTCTCTGGGAAAAAAAACCCCGAAAACAAAACACACTAAATATATTTTGCATCTTGGTTTTTTTATTTTTAAACAAGTGGATCTGTGGTTGTTCAAAGAAATACAATCTTGATCTGTTTCTCTTTGCAGCTCTATACATTTATGGGGATTGGGAAGAATAGGAGATATGCTAAGTACATGATAGGGGATATAATTTTATATTAAAACTTGGGTTTATAGCGTTTTCTGCCTAGAGTGAGATGTCTTTGGGGTTATACTACTGGCAATTTAAGAAGCTTTTCTAAAAAAAAAATTTAAGATAGAATTTATGTTTTATGATTCTTAGTGTATATAGAGTTGTGTAACCCTTACCACAACCTTACTTTAGAACACTTGCATTACCTCCCCCCACCCCCAAACAAAAAAACCTTTGTGCCCATTTGGAGTCATTAAAATCCTTTTTAACTGATTTATTATATAAATGAGCTTTGTAATTGCATTGCAACTTGCATAGCCATGGGCAGAATATCATTTAAATAGAAGTTGAAAGTAACCCCTCGATTCCTGGCTGATGTAAAGGAAAGTTTCCATGGTGTTCCAAGCAAATATGTAATCTCTAAGATGGCTGAATGAAATTTCAGGCCTTCTTTGTAAAAGATAGAATTACTTTCAGAGCTCTGTGATTTCTGCTTTTACTAATTGACTCCAAATTTCATTTTGTTTTTTTAAGTTTTTCAGTTTATTTTGAGAGAGGTGGGAAGGGGCAGAAAGAGAGGGAGAGAGAGAATCCCAAGCCGGCTCCCCCACTGTCAGCACTGAGCTTGATGCAGGGCCCAAACTCCAGAACCTCGAGATGTGTATGACCTTAGTAGAAACCAAGAGTTGGTCACTTAATGGACTGAGCCACCCAGGGGCTCCTTGACTATGAATTTCAAAGCACTACAGTGTTTCCAAAATTTCCCATTACTTTACCTTAATATTGAAATGAAATTTGAGAGTAAACTATGCAGTGGGTTTATTAGTATTAATAAATGCTATAAACCTTATAGAATTTCAGTAAAGGAGTTTTCTGAGAGTGTACCGATCTTTCAGAGTTAGTTTAGAATATTGATTTCTTTGTGCAGATTAGTAATTGGGGAAAAGGTGGTGGCTGCCTTTTTTTTTTTTAGTTCATTTATTTTTGCGTGAGAGGGGGAGAGCGCATCCTAAGCAAGCTCTGCACTGTCAGCACAGAGCCCAACTTGGGGCTCAACCTCACAAACTGAGATCATGACCTGAGCTGAAATCAAGAGTCACATGCTAACCCACTGAGCCACTCAGGCTCCCTGGTGGCTGATTAATATTAGGGAAACTGTGTTAAATTAAAAACCTACATTTCCAGATATTTTAAAGATAACTTTTTAGTTGTACATTTTTTAAATTAAATTTAATATGTGTACATATGGGGTATCTACATAGACAGGGAATTCCAAAGACTGTCCTAGTTGTTTTAAATGTTTTAAAATGTATTTTTATTAAAATGTAAAAGAAAAGGGGTGCCTGGGTGGCTCAGTCGGTTAAGTGGCCGACTTCAGCTCAGGTCATAATCTCACAGCTCCTGAGTTCGAGCCCCACGTCAGGCTCTGTGCTTACAGCTCAGAGCCTGGAGCCTGCTTCAGATTCTGTGTCTCCCTCTCTCTCTGCCCCTCCCCT